GATGTGGCCGAGGTAAAGAACCTGTCATTCCCCGAAGGAGCACTTGGACCGTTTCAGGAATAAGTTGTGTTGGCGTAGGAGTACGAAAACAGTCCTCAGATGGTGGACATGCTCTACCCATGATTTGCTGTAAACGAGGATATCATCAAAGAAAACTAAAACAAATTTGTGCAAATGGGGCTGGAATACCTCGTTCATTAGTGTGTATGGAGAGCTGAATCGAACGAGTGATTGAAGAAACTTTTCAGCCTAGTTGTTAGTGGATTTTTGGAGAAAAGGATGCTGTCTTGGTCACCATTCTGACAGTCCTTGGAGTTTTTTTCCCCAAATCCTAATCAACTAGAGAATTTTGATCGCGGGCCCCATAGGGAGCTTCACCTTGGCGCTCAGTGACTGAGGGATTCTTTCTCTTATCTTGAAGATTGAACCAAGTGTTGTGGTGTTCTGTGAAGCCTATAGGGAGTGGTTGCTATTTTCTGATTTCTCCTGGGTTCCGGGTGAGACACGGCTGGCAGATACGACTTCATAAAGGTTGGTACTTGGTGTTTGATTTTTTCTATTTTCCTTGCTTATCATTTGAAGCTGTTTGAAGTTCTTTTGGAGTTGTTTGAGGAAGATGGATATCTTGGGAGTTGAAAATAAGTGTGGGGCAGAATCTAGATAGGTTCCGGGAGCACCCGTGGACTCATTGTTGGTTGTGACCATAGTCAAGCTCGATGGAACCAACTATCTAGCATGGTCACAATCAGTACAAATTCATGTTTGTAGTAGAAGCAAGTGGGGGTATATCTCCGGGAGCAAGAAAGCACCTCCGGAAGATGACCCGTCTTATGAAAAATGGATGCAAGAGAATTATATTGCCATTGGATGGTTAGTGAACTCAATGCAACCACAAATCAGTCAACATTATTTATGGATGAATTTAGCCAAGGAAATATGGGATTATGTGGCTGAAACTTACTCACAAAAAATGAACGTTGCCAGGGCATGTAAGTTAAGGAGTGATGTGAATAATTTAAGGCAGGGGGAGAGACCTTTAGCCGTTTACTTCTCAATGCTGAAATCCCTGTGGCAAGAGATAGTCCTAATGGAAACTTGTCTGGGAAAGCACTAATGATGCTGAAACATACAGGAAATTAGTTGAGAGGAATAAGGTTTTGGGAGAATAGTCAATCGAATATTACTCCCTTCCTTAATTCTTTTCATTAAATATAATTTGCAAAGTTTTGGTATTTACAAGGAGACCCTTAATTGGGCGATTAACTCAATTAAGCATAACATAAAGAAACATAAAAGGTCCATTAGTTAAAAGGCCCATTAACAAAAGAAACCGGAACATAAACAAATAAAAACATCCTATGGGCCATTCGGCCCATTCTCTCTACAACACTTTTAGGAAAATGTGCAGTCCAGATTCATACCATTACCATGCCCCCTTCATAAGAATCCAGTGGAATTCCCATTCCCATCTCTCCTCAGGTGAGGAATCTTCATATTTCTGCCCTTCTTTTAGAAGGTCATTGGAATCATCTCACAGTTCAGCAGTATTTTGACAGGGAAGAAGCTATAAAAATTTGTCAAACTCCCATCTTCCCCTCATCTAATGATATTCAATGGATTTGGTTACAGCATAAGTCTGGGGTCTTTACTGTTAAAGAGGAGTATAAATCTAAACAGACACTCTCTATTCCTACACTCCCAGATGATGTTAAATCCTGTCTTTCCAAAATCTGGAAGCTTTTGGTTCCTCCAAGATATCAACTTTTCTTGTGGAGACTTTTTAACAACTTTATCCCAGTCTGAAGTGTTCTTTTCTCTGATCCTGCTGATAAAGTTTGTATACTTTGCAACCAGTTTGAAGAGACCACAGTTCATCTCTTTATTCATTGTTCCTTTGCTCGTGCTATCTTCTTGGGTAATCCTTGGAATATTGATCTAAGCTTCATTCCTCATAATTCTTGGGCAACTTATTTTACTCATCTCTGTAGCCAAATTCAAGATAATCAACTTTTCCTCCACATTTTAAATTGGTTTGCAATTGCCTGTTATTATATCTGGACTGCAAGAATTCTTTGTCCTTAATCTTGCATAATAATGTTTTAAATCTTTCTCTCAATTATACTACTGATCTAATCATTTTCACTGATGTAGGTAAAATTTCTAACTCTTTCACATTTGGAATTGTGATCTTGGACACAAATCTGCAGTGCTTAAAAATTATTGGAGGAAGAACATATCAACCTACTGCATTGATCATTCTGAACTCTTTGCGGTGTTGCAGGTTTTTTTGGAACTTCAAAGGAACATCTGTATTTGCTCGAACAATCTTCTAGTAATCCAGGCTCTTCAGAAGGACTCCCTGTTACCTTGGTTTTGCCGATGGCTTTTGCAAAGAACCAAAATTTTAATTTCCAGTCTTCACTTTAATGTTATGTTTAAACATATAAACTGTACTTTTAATATCCCTGCTCGCAAGGTATCCCAACAGGCAAAAAACCATCCTCTGTCTTACTTTGAATATAATGCCTATCCTGAAGGGATCCCAAAAGTGGAGCAGTTTGTAAATATCTCTTTAGCTTAACATATTTTCTGTTTATCTTCCAAAAATAGATAAATAAATAAACCTGTATCATAGGTCAACATGGGACTTAGAGGTTTCATTGCTACTTGCAATCTTCCTCCTAACCTCATAGCAGATCTCCTTGACGTGGTTAGCAAAACTTTCTGCATCAGCACATGGTGTTGCCTATGATGGTAAAGGAACTAGGTCTATAAGCTTCTTAGGCTGAATTCCCATCACTATTTCAAAGGGGTTGCGACCTATACTTCTATATCACTCACCAAACAATGTAGTAAATTTCCCAAGATTCTATTCACAACTTTAGTTTTCCCTTTTGTTTGAGTTTGAGGATAAAAAGTTGAAGAGAAATTCAACTTACTATTCAACATACGCCAAAAAGTTCTTCAAAAGTAACTCATAAATTTGACATCTCTTTCTGAAACGTTAGTATTAGGTAGGCCATGCAAGCACACAATTTGAAGAATAGTTATGCATACAAAATTAGATGTCTTGCTACAAGGAATGAAATGAACCATTTTCTAGAAGTGATCAACCACAACATAGATGGAACCATGCCCCTGTAGAGTCTTAAGGAGGCCTAGCACAAACTCCATGCCAAGGAGAAGAATGTGGAACAGGGAGTGGAGTGTATAAACTAGTATTTTGTTTCCTTTGCTAGATGACATACATGATGTTGGAATGTTTACCTACTTTTTATGTTTTTATTCTACTTAGTTAGGTCTGTTTGTTCTGGTTAAAATAGCTTTTTTTATCATTATTTATGTACTTTGACTACAGTAGGGGCATAAGGGTCTTTTCCCTATTAATTATGGTCACCCTATATATAATAATATAAGCTGGCACCGCCAGACAGATTTGAACTCTCCAAACCTTTCTCTTCTCTCTCTCTCTCTCTCTCTCTTCTCTTCTCCTTATTTCTCCTCTTTTCTTCTGCTAATATGGTATCAGAGCGGTTCTACTGGGTTTGAGAGCAGATTGAACAAGTTCTTTCTTTATCATCTTGCTGTCTTCTTCAACTGAGATCAGAGAAGTTGACCTACAATTGGTACAAGTTTGTTTTACCTTTTTTTTTCTTTTTCTCTTGGTCATGTACCAAGAAAAACCCTATGAAACAAAACTATTAAATGATGTCAGAGGAATTGTGAGGTTCAAGCCTCTTTTCTGTGGATCGTGTGATCATGTACCTGAGAATAGGATACTTGTGACTGTTAAACCGGTGCAGTGCTGAAATCAACCTAAAAAATTATTTTTTTAGAGAATTGGAGCTGGTCTGTGTTCAGATTGTGCCCAAACTGGAGTGTGTGCATGTGGACTGCATCTCTAGTGTGTTTTTAGGACTTTTTTGGGTGTTGGGAGAGATCTTAATGTGTGTGTTGAAACTGAAAAGTGTTTGAATCATGTCCTCTGAGAATTCTGCAACTTCTGAGATTTCGGGAGATCAAAATGGAATGAGTGGGGGGATAGATATGAGTTTTCCCATGATTGTAATTCTCTTTGATGGACTAAACTACCTTGAATGATCTAGGGGACACAACAACAAAATCCGTATATAGCGGCGGAATTCTTAGCGGCACTAAGAAAAACGCCACTATGTATTCATCTTTTAGCAGCGAATAGAGAAAGCCGCTGCTATAGATACTATAACTTATAGTGGCGGATGCATATTTGCCGCCAGATATACACCGAAAAATAAAAAAGAGCTAGTCCGGTCCGCTGAATCTTCTCTCCCGTGCGAATGAATCCCATAACTTCAAAAAACCCTTTCACTTCTCTGAGCATAATATTTGCATTTCTCTATTTTCTTCGGAAGCTGAGAAGCATCAAACGAATTAAGAGCTAAGTCACGATTTCTTTTACCCCCTTTCATCTTCTTCCTCTCATTACCTCTCTCTCTCTTTCTCTCTCTCTCACTTTTTTCTTTCATTCATCCATTTTTCTACAACAGACCATCAAACCTTCTCTTTGCCGATTCTGGGTTTCCAACCATCTCTCCCTTATCTCTTGTCACTCCTTTGGCAACTGGGAACCGAACTGAACTCATCTCCGGCGAGGTAAGTTTTTATACATCTGTATTTTTTTTGTTTGTTCCTATTGGTGGCGTGAAAATGGAGTAACACCGGCCCATTGGGTTCCGATTTGAAGAACCTGTTGGAGACGAACTCCAATGGATAAAACCTAACCCTTCTCTATTTTGGTTTATAAAAGTTATTTTTAACTTCAGTACTTTTTAGCAGATTGTTTTCCTTATTTTTAATGCCAAATTTTCAGTAACGTGAATGCACAATGTCACCAATTTCAGTAAACTCAAGTCTCTCTCTCCCTCTCTCTCTCTCTCTCTCTCTCTCTCTCTTACTAATGTGGCCCTGAACTCCCATTAGAATAACAAATAGGGCTAGAAGATGGAGACTCAAAATAGGCTTCACTGCTGAATCTAACCTTCCAGCATCTCTTAAAATAATGAGAAAAAATATATAGCGGAGTGTCATTCTGATGTTTTGCCAAGACCTAAAATATCTTAAGATTTTTTTTTCAATTCTTTTAGGTTTACTTGATAATCAGTTTCTTGGCATTTTTTTAATGGGTGTCTTAGAGTGATGTCCTATTTTTTAGAAACCATTTATGGGAATCGATTTTTTATGGTTTGCATTAGTGGTTTCTAAGTGGGTTTGAGGAATTTAATTCATAAGATGTTCCTTGTGTTGTTGTGTCTAAATTATTGCTGGACTGATCTTTTAAGCAAATTAGGAGAATCTTTAATTTCCATGATACTCTTGATGCCCTTTTTAAACATGGACTTGAATTATTTGAACATGAGTGGTGCCAAATAAGTTTCATAATAGAGTAAAGGGAACCCTCAATTCTTGAATCCATCTTTTTATCTCAAATGAAACAGACATTTATTTTTAATGAGTTATGGTTTGTAAGCATCATTATAGACTATGGAAGTGTTCCTATATTTCTTGAATTATGGTTTGTAAGCATCGTTTGATCTGTAACATGTTTCTAAACACTATTGAAGTGTTGCTATATTTTTTTTGTCATATTTGAAAATTTGGAAACTTTTACTCCCCTCTGTTTTGCTTCCTATCTTTATCATCCCTTTTGAGTTGTTCTTGGTTCAATCACGATTGATTTGAGTAGATATAAATTCCAGAACATTATCACATCAATGTTGCTGATTGGTGATGATGTTGAAAGCATGATTTCAATGGGACAGATTCAATACATTCTCACCTTATCTTATTCCCAATCCTAAGGCACCCACTACCAATCTCATGACCCAACTTAATGAAATATAATTACTGAATGTGCTGTAAACCATAGGGTACCAACTTATACTACCTCCTCTACACCCCATAAACAAAACACCTTCTCTTAGTAAAGGCTATATTTGCAGATTCTTCAATGTTACTATGTCAAACACTGTCCTTGTAAAAACCATCAAGAGATAACTAGCTACATAAAATAAAGGGTCAATGGCATAACCAGCTACATGACCCCTATGTGTAGGGACACAACAATCTGACAGGTTTGGACAAGAAAAACCTAGTCCCAGTTCAAATACAATGCAGTCTAAACCCATCCCTACACCTGGATAAGGCTGCTCGAATCCTAATCTGATAGGTTAGATTACCGTTTAACCTGACCTATTGATAGTGACATCCCTAGAGTACATAACTTTCAAGTTTGAAACCTTTTGATCAATGAGCAGACACAAAGTCTCAAATTTTCTCAAGGGAAGACTAATGAGGTGGTCCTCCTAGGGAACAACCTAGGTTGAACTAACTGATAAACCATATCTAATGATAATAGGATGTCTAGATTACTGGATGTGTATGAGCCCAGTTGGGAACAAAGTAGCTAGGTCTGGTCCAGGACCCTTCATCATGAGTCCAACCCAGTCTTAAAGTAGATACCCTTCCTTCTAATCTAAATGTTGACCCCTAATGTGTTTTGTGTACTGGTGAATTGTCATTGGGCCAACATAGACCATTGATGATGGAGATAGGTTATGTATATGTTTGGCATTGATGCTGCCAATACAACACCATTTTCTTAGAAAATGGTGCTGCTGATCTTTGGGTTGGAAGCATCGTTTTCTGAGAAAATGGTATCTTTTTTTTTTTGTTTGGAAACATTGCTGCCATGTGGATGCTCAGATTTCAGATTTCAGATTTGAGCATGTTTTGTAGTATGCTCAAATGGTTTGACAGATTTCAGATTTGAGCATGTTTTCTTCTATACTAACTTCTCTTTATTGTTCGAACAGGGCATCTAGGTTTTCATAGTTTGAATAAGAAATCCAAGTTTTTGACATTCAACCAATGAGCCAACAGGGCATCACAGTTCGAACAGGGGTTGTCATCACAGTTTGAGCAGGGAATCTAGGTTTCATCATCTGAACAGGGTAAGCAAAGCCAAGCATTAAAATTTTCTTTGCATAACTATTATTTTCTTGTGAATAAATCTTCTACTATGTTTGTTAGGGTTCCTAATATTCAAAAACTGCAACATGTGAAATAGAGAAAGAAGCAAAAATGAGCCATGAGTAGTTTTAGCACATGATTATTGACAGGAACTTATTTTGCCTGGATCTTCCATGTTAAGCTCCATATGGCCAAACAATCGCCTAAAGAAACACTTGGAAATGAAAGGAGATAAGTCAAATTAGTTCTTTACAGTCGGATCAAGTTGGGTTGTAGGTCCATTCAAACCTCAAATTTCAAACTGAAATGTCCATTCAATCATCCCTCCATTTATTATTATTATTATTATTATTATTATTATTATTATTATTATTATTATTATTTATTTTTTGACATCTCCCCAATCAATGGAACAATTATGATACATGTCTTATTATGAACATGCTTTCTCAAAAATGTTGTCTCCCATTTGACTTGTTTCAGGCTCTAGGGTATCACCTCATGCCACATTTCCTAATGGTTAATGGATCCATGTGCACCACTGTTTTCCACTGAAGAATCTGCCTCTGATCAAAGAATCTGAATGTTCACCCAGGTTTACATACCACTTTTGGATGCCTAAAGACACCATTTGAATATATGTGCTATGGTAATATTGACTAAAGATGACTAAAGTCTAGGAAACTGTTGGCAGATTGATCTATCGCACCTACCAGATATCTTCCCAAAATCTCACTCTATAACTACAGGATCAAATCTAACAAATTAATGGAATCCAGTGAAGATTGCCTTAATAGCTTTCCAAGTATTGCTTTCTTGCTAGTGCTTGCTTGCACCTAATGGATAACTCATGGCCATCAGTTCAGCCACTACCTGATACTCTTTTTTATTACATTCCTTTCCATGGAATACCTACAAAATGCATGAGATATGTATCTCCGAAAAGCCTTCTCCTAGGTTCAGAGAATTCACAACTAGCATGTCATCCCTTTAGGAAGTCATGCTCATGCTGATGAAACATAAAACTGGATATTGGAAAATACTGGAGAAATAATTTCCAAACCTGAGATACAAAACTGTGTAAATAAAAGTGGATAGATGAGGCAGAGACAACACCAATGTTACTTTTCCTGAGGAATCAAATAGCCATGGAGAGAGAGAGAGAGAGAGATGAATCATTTTTCCTATGAAGCATCTCAAAAATAATAATTTCCCAATGAACTGCATCCTAGTAAAAAGCACCTACCTTAGGGAACCAACAAATTATAGTATGTATTGATTAAATGTAAATGAGACAGTTACTACAGTGTCTGGCTAAACAAACAGTATGCTCAGTGTAAATATAGGTATCAAGGACCATTCTTATAGAAAAAATAAAAATATATAAAGAAAAAAAAAGGTATACAAGCTTTATGCCCCAGCACCAACAGCCAACCCAAAACAACCTAAAAAATTCAAATACTACTCAATCACAGCCAAATTACATAATCCAAACAACCCGCTCCACACCAATCTTTAATCCCAACTCCTTCAAAATCAAACGAATGAAAATACATCAAATATGTACAAACAAAAGCAGAAATGAAAGTACAGAACATACAACCCACTTCTTCAATAGAAACACCAAACATCATAACAACTAAAGACAGCCCAAGATATCCAAATTGGAACAAATACCAAGCAGTCTCAGATTCTTCATCCCCAGAATCATGATCAGACCACAATTGCATATACATTGGCTGTACAATTGCACAATGTATATGCACCCTGTTTCAACTTTGCATCCCTTTGTTTTGTGGCTTTGATTTGCATTTTTTACCTGATGCAAAATTTGCATCACTTTCTCCTACCTTAATTCTCTTCCTCATATCAAGTTGGGATTGAATCAATTCATTTCCTATGTACCTTACTCTCCCCAATTTTTACCTCGTTAACACTCTAATTTTTATATTTGTTTTCCTTGTTTTTCAGGTGGAACCAATACAAGAATGATAGAAGGCTTTGTATACATTTTTTTTTTTATTTATTATTATATGTAACAAGAATTTTGTACATTTTCCACATCATTATCGTATGGAACTCACATTAATTAAGATATACATTTGTTTTTAATTAATAGTTTAGTTTTATAAAATTTTATTTGAAATTTTGGTTTGACGTTATAGGTGTTAATCAGGTTGGATAAATTGTAAATGTATCTTGATTAATCAGGTTGGGTAAAACTGAACGGGAACTTTTAGCGGCGGATATCATTTTTTTTAGCGGCACAAATATCCGCCGCTAAAATGTTTGTTTTTTCTAACAGGTGCTTTTAGTGGCGGATATCATTCTTTGATGCATATATCCGCCACTAGTTATGCATTCAGCGGCACATGTATCTGCTGCTAAAATGTTTGTTTTTAGCGGCGGATATATCCGCCACTATATGACAAAAAATATGCATTTACAGCGGCGGATATATGAATTGATGACACTTAAATACTCTTTTAGCAGCAGATATATATGTTGCAATAGCAAATTTTCTGCCGCTATTGATGACTTATAGCGGCAGTTGTTATAAGCACCGCTAGAACTTATAGCGACGGTGCTTTCCGCCGCTAAATACCTATAGTGGTAGTTTTTTTAATGTATAGTGGCAGATTCGTCTGTCGCTATAGACCGATTTTGTTGTAGTGGGAATTAAACATTACATTACTGCTAGGGGGCAAATAGGGTATATTAATGGTAAAGTGAAGGAACCAAAGACCGGAAGTGTTAAATATGACAAGTGAAAGCAAGAAAATAGTATGGTGATGTCATGACTCTTGGTTTCCATGCTGCCACAAGGAAGACATTTATATGGGCTGAAACAACTTGTGAAATATGAGAACAAGTGAAATCTACCTATTTAGAGTAGAGGCACTATGTGAAGATATACCAATTACAAGCTGAATCCTTCACTTGCAAGTAGGGGGAGAGGAGTTTCTAGGTGTACTACTCAGATCTATCATCAATCTGGAAAGAATTGGATCATTATCAAAATATGAATTGGAAGTGTGATGAAGATGCAAAGGGGCCTACAAACCACTTGTCTCCTAACAACAAGTATTTGCTTTTCTTTTGGGGCTAAATACTACATATGATTCCATGAGGGTGCAAATCTTAGGAAGTAAGAACTTATCTTCAGTTTTAAAAGTTTATGCCTTAGTTCAGTCTGAAGAGAGTAGAAAAAGTGTGATGAATTGTACAAAGGGGGAGTCAACACTAGCAGTCTTAGGAGGTACAAATTCAAATGTCGGAGGCTCTTTTAAAAAGGGTGATTCACGGAAGGAAGTGGATGACAAAGACAAGCTTTGGTGTACTCACTGTCAGAAGTCTAGGAACACTAGAGACACATGCTGAGAACTCCGTGGCAAGCTTAAATGGGCTTAGGAATTGAATAAAAAATCAGCATGTGATCAGAGTAAGAAACTAACCAGCAGAGTTAGAAGAAATATAATTCAACCTTTCATGACCCTACCAACTATGGTCAATTGAGGTCATCCATGAACTAAGTAATCCACTAGACTGGCAATGTGTTTAACACCACAGTCCGTGTTGGCCCTTTACCCAGCTCTTTATTGGAGTTTGTCCAACAGATAATAGCATTCTAGACTTCAGTTTTTATTTAGTTGATAGAAAGTGCTTTTCATTAAAGATGTCATTTGAATAAGAAGTAATATCTTTTGAGCCAAAAGCTTTTCGGGGAGAGGAATAAGGAGACTCCTTTCTAGCTCTAACTCACTTGCCCTATGGAAGATCCCTTTTGGAACCTTACTAAACAGCCTAACTAAAAAACCAAATTGGTAAGTGCAGAGCTTCATCACCTGAATATATTGTATTGCCCAGGAGGGAGACAAATAGAAAAGGTCAAATGGAAAAAACAAGAAGAGATGAGAATATATGGAATAATGGAAACACTAAAGTGGAGGCTATAACAAGCTCTAATACACAGCCCATTGAGTAGAAAGGAGTTGGAGAAGTATCACCCATGCAAAAGCAATAAAAGTTCCTCCAATAGGTTTTTTGAACAACAATGTATATATTTGGTTTCATTTACGTTTATTGACAGTGCCACATAGGCGCCCTATTAGCAAATACCTCATTAATTGCATTTGTGTGTATCGAAGTTTGCAAAACTTCAGTTTTTGTGCGTCTCTTTCATTTCAGGAAACTTCGTTTTGGAGCTTCCGAAAACAGATAGGCATTTATTGGCATTTTTCTGATGTGGTGCCTAATGGCGCCTATGTGTCATAAACACCCTCATTAATTGCTTTTCTCGAATTTTCAATCACACAAGTACAAAACGTTTATTCAATAAACGGAAACGGAAACAAACACACTGAATATCTATGCCAATAGGACTGATTCACAAATAGAATTGAATTGTTAGTGTTGAAGTAGAACAATCACAATCATTAGAAAGTATAAATCCCTAGTGGATTCTTTTAAGGGTAAAAGACTAAACATACCTTGAGTTTTTGATATAGACTTAAATATATCTTGTGAGATGATCCAGTTCGACATAAATATACCCTCTTAGTAAAACATTAGGAACTGTTAACAATCATATGACCTATTTAAATTTCTTTTAAAAGCCCTGTTTTGCCTCTTTATTCCCTGTTAACAGCTGATAATAAAGAACTTTTCCAAAAAGGGAGTGTTTTCTACTGTGGTCTCAAATATGTGTGGTGTATTTCAAACCACTGGCCCCACTGTGGTTTGTCCAAAGCCATGGGTTCTAGAACTTACCAGCAGTATTCTACTGTGGTGCAGTGTGTTCCAAAATACTGGATTTGAAATTTGTTGGCTTTCATGTGAGAAATTACTAAATTAATGCCAAACAAAACCAGAAAAGTGGTGTGGTTAGGAACATCGGAAATGAGTGTTTTCAAAATCTTGTGATATTTAGAATTTTGGAACCACATATTTTTGGTTCCAGAACTTGGGAAAGGGTTAATTGATTTAGGAGAGGTCATTATATAGAAGACTGGGGTAGGGTTAATCTCTATTGGATCCTAACAAGTTATGCTGTTGTGGCCTTCTAGAATAAATTCAAGCAATGTTTGTGCCAGGTGTGGACTCTAGAGCATGTGGCTTACCCCCCCCCATGTGGCATCTTTTGAAGGAAATCCATTCCATTTTACTAGAGCTTCTTTCACTCTTTCACTATTTTTCTACCATCTTTAATTCATTGATAGTCCAACATCTGCTATGGGGTGAGTTGTAAGTTCTTTTTTATGGTGATGGGAAGTAAGGTGTGGGTTGCCAACACTATTGGGCTTAGGTGTTTCTTAAGTTGTGACATATAACATCGGATGAAGTTGTGAGCCATTAGGAAGCTGGAGGCGATAAGCCATGACCCCTACTTTCTCTGCAATGGGGAAGGGACCATAAAACAGAGGGGAATGATTGTGCCACACCCGTCGGGCGATGGTAGCTTGCCTATATGGTTGAAGTTTCAGGTAGACTAGGTTCCCAACTTGATATTCTATTAATCGATGGTGTATATCATAGTGGTTATTCATGAATTTCTAGGGTCATACAAGGTGGTCTTTCAAGGATTTCAAGAGCATATCATGAGTGGTGAGGTAATCATCAACTGAAGCTACAACTGTTGAACCTCACTTATATTGCAGGATGGCCATGGGATCCTTATTGTATAAAGCTTTAAAGGGTGTCACTCTGTGAGCCATTTCACCCACTACTTTGGTTAATCTCCTAGAAAACTCCTCAAATAAGCTTCCAAACACCCATTCACGACTTTTTTTTGGTCGTTAGTCTACAAGTGATAACTAGTGGAGAAAACATGGGATCTCAATTTGATGTGATCCCCTTGGGGATTCCATAACACTCTGCAATGTCTTTAACAAAAACTTCGACCACTATTGTTGTGCTATAGGGATGAGGAAGGGCTGAGAAATGTCCATATTTTGTTAGATGATCTACAACAAACATTATTATTGATTTACCTGAGGAGATGAGAAGCCTAGGAACAAAATCCGTGGACACCTCTTCCCAAACATGCTTCGACATTGGGAGTGGTTGCAATAGGCCAATCGATGACTAAACTTCATATTTCTGTCTCTAGTATTCCAGGCATTGGTAGACATATTCTACTACCGCCTTCTTCATTGTTGACCAGTAAAAATGAGATTAGAGCAAACAATAAGTTTGATCATTACCTGAAAGACTCTCAAACCCCCCCATTCCAAGTTTTCAATCCTCTTTTTCATCTGACCTGGAGTCCAACATATTGTATTAGACCTGGAGTTTTAGATCCATGGGCCGGACTGACACAGACCGAACAGGCCACCCTCATAGAACGCCGTTGCCGGGGATCGAACCCGGGTCACCCGCGTGACAGGCGGGAATACTCACCACTATACTACAATGACTTAATGAATATTTAAGTGAAACTTCTAATAACATAGTTTCGTACTTTGTATTAATTTTAATTTTAGGTTAACACGTTTAAATGGAATTTCATGTAAAAAAGCAAATGCAGATATCACGAAAAATTTGTTTGGTTGGTTAAGTATTTGGAGTGGTATTATATTTGGTATTGTCGTGCTACTATAAATGAAATGTTTACATTCGCTTTGCGCATAGAAATTTTAGATGATGATAAAAAATGGTAATAATATCTTCTCAAATTTTCTAAAACTTTTATATTTTTATTTATTAAATTAACAATAATTTTTATTTATATGATGAATATATAATATTGGAGATATATTAAAATATTTTTCACATTTTTTTGTAGTTTTTATATTTTTTTTAATTTTTATTATTTAATCATGACATCAAGTATTAATATATTTAAAACAAGAAGATTGAATTGTTAAACCACCACACAAAAAGATTAATTTTTATTATAAATTTAGAGGATACCAATTACCTTTGGGCCTTGGGTGCGAGGGTGAAAATCTGGTATACTACAAAATAAAATAAAATAAAAGGCACAATTTATCCAAGTATTTTTTGATAGATACAATCTATCCAAGTTTACTGATAAGAAAAACCTATGCAGGGGGGCTGTATAAGCCTGAGTTTAGGCTTAATATTTGATGCACAGA